ATTACATAAATCTTGCGTGGCACTTGTGTTTTTAATAGTCGGGCCACCCTCAAAATTTGACTTCTCCAACAATTTTGTGTCCAAGAATCCAGCACAGATATACAAAACTTTAAGAGCTGGCCCTGCAGAGGGGTAATTACAGACGAGAAATTCTAAAGGCATCAATTTAGGGATGACAGATATTGCTCATTTAAACCACTATAACTTGCTGGCAAATTTTGAATCCACTTCTGTCAGACACACTAGAGGTTTTGACCCAATCATTTACTAATGCAATCACACAATGCTGTCATATATTAAATTGATCCGCAAACCTGGACACAAAATCACGTTTTCCCAATTTGGCACTAATCAGTCCAGACCTTAAGATAAGTGGGGGCCCGGTCATACAGACCCTTAGATGGGGGGGGGAGGGGGGATGGTCTCCAAAAAAATTTTTTTCAGCCTTTTGGGCCTCAGTATGGTCTAAAAATAAGGGAGGGACAGGTCCCCCAGGCCCCTCCTCTGGATCTGCCACTTCTAATGTGGCTTAAAGCAATGCTGTAAGGCACAATCTACCAAATAAAAAAAAAAAACCTCCTACAATTTCATCACTCCTTCATGTTTCGGTAAAAAAAATAAATTTTATTTTATCTAAATCGCCTCTAAAACAGCAAAGATATAAGTGTTTTAAAAGATGCAACACGAGCAAAATTTTGCTGTATGAATTAATTAATGAACAGGTTCCCCTGCAGCCTTAGTGAACTCACAATATATAGTACACATTGCAGTCAAGTCTTAATGAATAGCGTTACATGTACAATCACTAAAGAATGAACCATTTAAGGATAGCACATGGTGCAAGATGCAGCTCCTCTGACAATGGTGCTTGATTAGGATAGTGACAGAACTTACATGTAATGATGACAGGAAGTGAAAACAAATTTATACACTGTACTTCACACACACAAATTTGGTTTTCTTTTGAAAGATAATGTTTGCTACAGTTTTTTGTTAAATGATATAGGTTTAGTTCATTTTAAACCAAGACAAAGTTATCTTGAGGTCCAAATTCTGAAGAACAGAAAAGCACCCCCTTTAAATAGGTGCTCCTTTTGAATTACCCACACTTCTATATTGACCGAAAAAATTGGATAAGTGCATTAAACATAAATTTGAGAATTAACAGTGCTGTACTTGTATATATTACAGATTTTAAAGTAAGAAAAAAATAGGGACAAAGGACTACACATTTTACTCACCTTTCCCATAAATGGAACCAGGTGATGCTCACATAGGGAGAACATGTCAATGTCTTTCACTATAACTAGCTCGTCATGATTTTCATCAAAAACAGCATCATTTAAAATATCTAAAATATAACACAGGAAATGAATGCTATTGGTTTATTTGCGATTCAAACAGGTCAAGATGGCCGGGCATTGATCAAGTTCTTTTGTTTTAGTTTTTATGGAAAGAGATGAATTTGAGGTCACTGAAAATGCAAAAACTAAAGAGAAAGTGGCCAAAATCCAGACACCTTGACTGTGCAAGCTTGGTCAATAAAGAATTTAGTACAGTGAAACCCTCCAACTAAGAAACTGGATTTTAAGAACCTGTTAGGGTAAAATTTGCCAGTTAAGCACCCCTCTATATAAGATTCTGTTTAGAATTAAATTTGAAACAGGTTCTTTACTAAAATCTGTTCAGTACACTTGGGCAAATAAGATAAGTCAATATTCAGAATCCTCTTTGGAGGCATAGGTGCCTTAAATTATCACTCCAACTGCAATGTAATGGTATGCAGGTTTTATATGAGGAATATTAGCTGAACAACTAAACTCTTAGTTACACTGTATTTTTTTCTTCGGAAAAAAAGGACCTATTTAAGAACCTAAATAGCTAAATTTATGCTAACTAGCCTTTATATTCTTAGTTGTGGGGTCTTACTATATGTGACCAACAGTGCTTGTAAAAAGTCTTGTCTGGTAGTCCTGGACAAGTAGATATTCTTGCTGGGCAAGTAACTTTTGAAGCACACTTGACCAATGCACAAGGGCCCAAGCAAGTCATCTTCTAACAAAATTATTAACTAAGATGAGGAAGAAGTGTCCTTAGGCAAGGAAACTGTGAGAGCTGCTTGCCCAAAGGACAAGATGGAATTCGTTTTTTTGAGACCTGAAAAAATCATTTTTTTCTCACAGAACGAAAGCAGGAAATCCCAAGCGACAAGACAGACCCATCTTACAGTGTAGCTAGCCAATCTAGAACACAGGATTCCATTCAACTTGCCCACTGATGAAGCAGTCATATAATAAAAAATATTTTTAAGTGTTCAGATAGATCTGGCCCATATTAGGTTATCATGTAAAGAACCTTCATCCAAACAGCTGCCACTTTCTTTGTTTGCTAAACACATTCAAGAAAACTCAGTGTAGAAAACTCAACAAGTCTTTTTAATCAATGAGCAAGTCACATGAAGCATGCTAGTATGCATGCTATGACACTTTGCCAAGTCAAGTATTATATTTCAGTTTAAATTTGCAACAAAGAAAATGAAAAAAATGCTCACTGTTGAAATTAATGCCTTATTAGTTTGAAACAAAGAGAAACTAAATACTAATATCCTCTTTGCTTTTTTTTCCCACTAAGCACTTCAGTGAAAATATTTTGTTATTACAGCTATAATAACCAAGTGTCTTTTTAATGTTCATTGTTTTAACTATGGAAATGCAAGAATATCTTAACAATCATACAATGTACAGAACAGAGAGGTTTCTGATGTGATATTGTGTTTGATTCACTTCACTGCACAACTATCTAGCATCAGCTTGAGTTAATAACGTAAGAGATTACAATGAACAGAAGACAAAAGAAGAAAATAAGATTATTATGGATACAGGCAATTAACACCTTTGACCTGGCAGATCAAAACAAAAGATATGGAAAGAGAAGGGCATAAAAATACAATGCCACAACTAAAAAATGTGGGCTTTTTAACTTTCTCTGACAAATGACAAAAGTAAAGACATCTTGGATAACTTTAATTGATGATTAACAGCCATGTAATTTACATAATAATAGTATGCCATAAGTAAATAAATATTTAGAATTTTGGCCTGTCAGCTAGACATGATGAATAGATTCAAATTACCGGTGTATTGTTTACTTGTATTATTACTACACCCTTGTTCAGAGCTAAATGCAACTCACGAAATCAAAGAAAACTTAAAATATCCATGGCCAAGTCCTACGAATAAGCTGCTGGCAATTTATGCTGACAGCTTGACATCTGGGCTGCTAAGTTGTCTTGAATTTGTTTTTACTATTTTCTAGAGTATCTGCCTGGACTAACAATGTTTCATTACAATGGTATAATGGATTTTCGAAAAATTTCGCAATTTGTGGCCTCTCAGTGTCGTACCTTCTATTCTGATTTTAGAACTTTATATAGAGGTCTCTAACTCATTTCCACGCTTCAGGATTTTATTTTGCACTTCTTGGCAACTAAGCTTCTTCAGTGACTTTATAAACTCCTACCATAAGTTGCCTGACTGTCTTCTTTTCCTGTCTCATCCAAAAATCCCATTATGCCCGGTAGGATTACTGATTATGTCCTTATCCTTTCATTAAGAATTGTAGTAGCAGGAGAAAGATGTAACGTTACCAGAGAATATTCTGACAGCAGATCCACGTTTGAATAAAAAAAACTGTCCTAGGCTCCTGAACATTAGCTGGAGAATTCAGTGTAGTAAACGAAGAATTCTCTGATCTCTGATACCTAATGAACATCCTGTTAGTACCAGAATTTTTCATTTCCTTTGTTTTTAGGAGGTCAGAAAATTTATGTTGCAGTTCAAAAAATCAACAGAAGATACAAAACTGAGAGACAATGAATCAGGGAGTTAAGCTTTAATTCATTATTTATCTTAAAAACTGACGAAGATCATAGGGTTTCTTTGTGATTTTACACCGAGCAGTTCAACTCCTTGTGAGCACACTTCCTCCTGACTTTGGCTGTGTTCACACAGTTCCAGATGAATTTTTGACCAGCAGAAAAATTTCAACAGACACTCCATTCATATGGGACCGTTCAAAATTTTCATCCTATTCACAAGGAACTTTGAACAGCTAGGCATCTAAATTTTCTTACGGTTAAGGTGGTTTGATATGAACGAAACACCTTAACACAAGAATTTTCAACAGGTCAAAAATTTGTCTGGTGCCGTGTAAAAATAGCCTTAGGTTGAAACATGTGTGTATTGAAACATCTAATTTGACCAGGAAATTCTTTAGAATGTATAAAAACTACATGTACAGTCAACTATATGTATATCTACTGGAATATCATGTTGTTATGACAAAACTCTAATACGCTGACATTCAAGATCTAACAACAGCACACTAAAAGTTTGACTCTGTCCTTCATACTCTCTGGACAACTATGTCTATGTTAGATAAATTAATGATTAAAATATTACACGTACCTCCGATCGTCTCTTCGTACCCTTTGGTAAAAAACAACATGGCCTTGGCGGCTCGAGCGGGAGTTTTTAAAAGGCCTTGGCGAGTCTTGTCTTCTCCAATATTGTCTAGTACCGTTGCAAAGGCCGCTTCTAGTTGTTTTTGCTGATCTTGAACAGAATCCACATCGATCGGTCTTGGTTTGAGTTCTGGAACGTCATCCATACTCAACGTCGTTCTCTGATATTTTATGGGGTTATTTGCTCCACTGCCTTGGATAAATGAACATTCCGGTTCACTCATTGTGAAGATAATTATGAAATGTTAATTAGTCCCACTACAAGAATCTACGCATAAGCTTATATTATACGTTATTATGGAGAGCGTAAATGAGCTGTAAAACACATGTGAAATGCGTAAAACGAGCAGGCATCCGCATTCCACTATCATCGTTCCCAGTCTCCTCTGAATTGGCGGGAAATAAACGCCTGTCAAATTTTAGTTAATAACTTCGCTGGAAGTTTCATCGAAGATGCCGAATTTGAATTACCGTTACTATGGACGCTAAAGAACAGGTCATTTCTCTTCCTCCTGTTCGATTCTGGGGCCTAGATCCTTTGTTTTGGACGCACATTAAAATGTTCGTTAAAGACGTTTACGAATTACACGAATGTGCTGATTATCGAGGTGAGGAAATTATTTTATTGTTTTATCTTAGATCCTGCATTGTCTCCCTGAGTGATTTGATGCCCCAAAAAACACCATACCTTAGAAAGAAACAAACAGTGTTCTACGTTTGTTTCCATTGTTTTTCATTTGTTTTCTTTTTATTACAAAGTGCAGTGTTGCCAGGCCAGTGGTCAGGCATCATCTTTTGTTTTAGGTTTCAGATACTGTATGACAAATACAGCTGTCAACGGCGTCTCACGTACGACCATGCCACATATAACTAAGTATATTCCCCGTGGTCAGATACCCCTCTGCGACATAAGTCTTTAACATTTGTATATTGCCTATGTTACTAGAAAAGGAAACCTGGTAATCGAATAAACACGACTCATGAATAGTCAGAGAGGGTGGATAAACGCTGGTTTTAAAATCACATTTATAGCATTTTTTTCTCCATTTTTAACCTAAAGGGAAAAAATTTTCAAGAAAAGATTGTTGCAAACTACTTTTTTTGTTTTTTTAAAAACCCTATTCATATGTTGTTCATTTATTCTCCTTATTCATTCATTCATATTATTTTTGATTGAAATGTGCTTTGGGGGAAATCTTTTTGTTCAAGGCTCAAGAAAGATACTGTTGGAGACAAGTGATAGATTTCATTCTCAGTACATTCTACAACAAAAACTGACTTAAAACTTGTGTGAAACTGAAAATCAATTCAAATGTGTTACAACAACATAAGAAGATAACTGTGAATAGCCAAAATGTTTTCAGATTTTCCTTGTTACCCAGCAGCATCTTGATTTTGGTGCTAAACTCCATACAATTCTTGTTATTAATGTGAGTTTTAGGGTTTTGAAATTTTTATACCTATTTAAATTTTATCTCTGGATTCATTTTTCCTTTGCAAAGCTCACCTAATAAAAATTATTATATCATAAAGATTTACAAGATTTTGTGGGTGAAATATACTAGAATATAACCTTCATGTACAAGTACTCATGGGTACACTCAAGTAGTTTGCAGTGGACTCTGGTGTTTCACTTTACCCTTGAACAACAAGTAAAACGTACATGTAGTTTTGCACTAAATGGATATACTCTAGCCACCCTGGCCCCAGGTATTCAAAAGGTGGATAAAATAATAACTATCTAGTGGATTATAATGCAGTATTGTTGGCTTCTCTAATACATATCCACTGGATAGTGATTTATCCAAAGTTTGAACAGTCAGGCTCTGGATGTTATGGGTTGGAACATTGGGCATCCTACAATATTTTTCTTGGAGTACAACCTTGTGTGCTGTACTTCTAGCTCATATGCCTTTTTATGGAGAGGTGATAAATGTTACTAAAACTAACCTTTTTAAATTTAAAAAATATTTCTTAAATTATCAGGAAAAAAACAGGAAGTAGAATTGAAGTAAATAGAGTAGTTTTTACTCACCTAAAGTGTCTTGCTGTAAAATCTGTTCTCACCTTAAAACTCGTATTCAGCCTAGGTTAATTCAGAATTTTAATTTCTTTGTTTGTAGAAAAACAAAGGAATTAAATTCTACGTAGCTCTTTATTATTCATAACAGATGAAGGAAATTCTTGTTTGACCTGAGAGTGTTACTAGAAATAAATGTGACTAGAATTTTAATATATATATTCAAATATTTTGATAATATTATTGAAACTGTTACCTTTCCGTTTAGGAGTCTTTTGTTATGCTAATAACCACCCAGTCATAAGGGTGGAAGTTCTTGGACATATTGTTAGCATAGATGAAAAGGAGAAACTAACTAGTTATGGAGGTACATTTATTTTATGACTTACTATAATTTTAGCATGTGCATTCTCAATATATTCTTGACATATTTTCTGTCATTTAATCTGAAGAAAATCTGTTGACAGTTGATACCTAAATATCGTTGATTATCATGACCTAGTAATTTGTTATTGGCAAGGTGAAACAAAATGAAACAAAGCTGTGAATTTAATCCTTCACGTAATCTTTCCATATTATAGAATAGAATGAGGTCAAGTTTGTTGCTCTCCGGTTTATGAATAAACTACCCTGTCCAATAATCCATGTCCCTCAAAAATAGCTGCAAAAAATAACCCACTACAGGGCTTACAACAAAGATAACCATATTTCCTCAAACAAGTGCCTGACTTATTTAAAATTTTCGCTAAAATTATGGAGGGGCATTTTGGAAGAGGCCAGGTGGTTTTTTAAGTTTTCCTTTCAACGAACGGTAATTTTATTGTGGCTAATTCTTAATACAAAAAAAAAAAAAAAACTGCATCATCCACATTAACATCAAGTCAATATTTAAATGTCTCTTTTTTGTTAAAACAGTCACGTGGCTGGTAGTCAAGCATACCATACTTATATTGATTATCTCATCATCCTCAAGATTGATATGCAGGTCTTTGCGTCCCTCTAACTTGTATCCCTATTATTTTAATAAAGTGATGGAGAGGTGACTGGGGGAGGCTTACTTGAGAAGGGTGCTTAATATAAGTTTGATATTATGGCGTAGGGGTTGGGTGCTTATTTGGGGGAAGGCGCTTATTCAAGGAAATATCAATACAAATCATGCTATTATTTGTTTATACTACTACCCACAAAAGGTTTTTTAATTTTCACAAGTAGGTATTTCAAATTAAGCTGAAATACCACTGCTCAAAGCCAATCAAATTGCAGAAATTTCTCATGTAGTAGTATATTGTTAATTTGTAGTTGATGATGGCAGTGGAACAATTTTGTGCTGTAAGTGGCACCCAGCTGCATCAGATCTGAAGAGCACCTGCAGTGGTAACAGGGAATTGTACAATCTAGGGCAACTGGTGACTGTACAAGGAAAGATTTCTACATTCAGAGAGCAAAGGCAACTTACTGTTGATTTTATCTGTATCCATTTCCTTATTAAAGATTAGTTTGTTACTTGTAAATCTGAGGAATCCTACAATACCATAAATCCTCTATTAAGCCCCCCATCTCAAATAAGCCTCATCCCTCTAGTAAGCCACCCCTCCCCCTTTTCAGGGGAAGAAAGGTAAAAAGCTCCCCTCCCCTCTGCTAAATATTCTTCACTAAAATACCTATAGACTGTATAAATAAATCACGGCTGTAAAACTTCGTGTGGACTGATCCAGGATGGCTTATTTACCAACTGGAAGTTCAAATTTGATTCTGATTTTAGGCTGCATGACCTCCAACCTTCTTTTACTTGTCATGAGCTCTTCTACTTTGTATTCTAGTTCTTCATGGAGAATTGATACCAGCGTCTTTTCCAAATTAAATAAGCCCCCTGTCTCTATTAAGCCCCCCCCCTTCAAATGGGCTTCAAATAGATAAGCCTCTGGGGGATTAATAGAGGATCCCTGGCATTAAAACATTACATAAACTCTTTCACTTGCTATAGACATGAGAAAAAGAAAGAAATTTACATTATCATTTCTCTCTTGCGATTTTTACATGTTAAACTTTTCTTTTTAAAAATGTTTAGCCTTAACAATATTCAGATGCAGAATCAGACCCTAATGTTGAAGTTTTGTTTTGGTTAGAAGCCATCAATCTTGGCAACAACATTTACAGTAAAAAATCCTTCACAAATTCCCTCAAGAATCCTCCTGCGGGAATTGATGAGTTGACAAAGGAAGAGGAACTGAAGAGGGCCATTTTACAACAGATTAAAGAGAATAAAATAGTGGCATTCCAGTTTAGAACCTTGTGCCTAGACCCAGATATACAACAGATAGCTTCTGAGGCTGTCAGCCAGAAATCTACAGACCAGGTATTCATATCCTCAAACTTATCGATAAGCCAATAAGAGAAAAGAAAACTAAATCACTACCGCTGTAAGTAGGACCTACGAAAATGCAACTCATATCATCGCGTGATTTGCCTTAGGTGTTGTGACCAGGGAACATAAATGTCCTCTGATTGAGAGCTTTTGCTTTCAATTTCTTCCATGATCATTATTTTGGTTTAAAACATTATGTTTGACAAGGTGTTACATTTTGTCCACACACCTCTAACTTATTGTTATAAAACAAAGATATGATTTTCAAATATATTATTGCTTAAATTGCAATTTACCACTGCAATGATCGTATCCTCATTCAAAAATTTATATTTCCGAAGTTCACATCATCTTGATTCTACCTCTAACTTAGTTGTCTTGTTTGTTTAACCCACTTCTGTCCAATTTTTTTTTTTATTCCACTGAAACAAGTATTTTTATTCCATGATTCTTATTCCTTTCAAAGCCCCAGGGTAAAAAGCTGGATCGATCGTATGAGATGAAGAAAGTTGTCAGGCAAGTGATTAAAGATCTTGAGAGAGCTGGATTGGTGTATTTTAAAGACTCACGAACAGATCTTTACGAGGTAAAATACTAATCTTCACCTCACAAAACTAGCATTATTCATATGAATTCTTACTTATGTTAAATCTGTTTCCTGATGATTTCTTTGGATTGGTGGCTGGGCTTTCAGTTTAAAGGTTGATTTTGTTCATACCGTTTAAGAACATTTCAGTTATATCCACTTGCTTCTCTGTGTCAGTATTTGCAAATCTTCATCAGCAGCTGTTTTTAAAAAACATTTGAAGACTTATCTTTTAAAGAAACCTGTGACTTTTAACTTTTATTTCTAGTACACGTATTTACATTTTATAAATAGGTAAATACATCTTCAGGTATTTTTAGATTTTTAACTTTTATTTTGTGTATATGACTGTATTTGAAAATATTTTTACGCTTTGTAATGAATTTATCTCGCAATTTTTAGCTTTTAGTTTTTAGGTTAGCATAATCATTGTAAACCGCTATGAAACAGTTTCTCAATAGTGCTATGTAGATAATATTATTAGTTGTTATTATTATTATTTACAGTTTCAGATCAAACATTTAACATTCCTATGCTGTCTGTTTAATATTTTTTTTTCTCATCTATTTAATCGATTAAGGAATCCATCTTTGGACTTTTCTCTACCATTTAACCCGTTTAAACACTCTTATTACTGACAACAACAGTTACTGACTATTTTAATTTGCTAGGTCATTAGTCATGAACATAACCTGGGACCAGCCATCATAAAAGCCATGAGGAAAGTTGCAGGTGATTGAAAATTCCAAAAAAATAATGTGATGGTCATACACTCAGGCAACCGAACTCTCCCTAAGACAGCAACCATTGGGACCAGCGCTGATGTGTCTGTCTTAGGGAGTAGTACATCTTATAGAGAGTCAACTAAAAAGAATAAAGAAAGGCAGAGACCAACTCTAGGCATCCATTTTACTGAGATGTCCCACTTAAAGAGGTGTCTGTTAAGAAAGAGTTGACCGTACTTTAACAGTAACAGCATGCAAAGAAAGTCATGTCCCATAGCCCGGGGTTAGTGGATTTTAAGATTGGGGTAGTTATTTTTATTCTTAATTTGCCCGATGGGCAAGTGAATTTTTTTACGGAATTCAAATCACAAAAGAACTGTTATCAACCCTGCTCATCAACAGGCTAGTTGAAATGACTAAACCAACATACATTTACAGCAACTCTACCCCAAATGATGAAGAATGCAAAATCTAAAATAACAAATCAACCTTATATGAACTAAAATAATAATTACAACCTTTTAGAAAATATTGATCCCGCTAATTTAAGTTTTAAAATATGTTCATGTAATTTGTAATTGTAAGAAAAGCAAAAACAGTAGAGTTTGAAAAAATAATCCAGTTTCAAAAAATGAAACTGATTTGAAAATTGAACCACAACATATACATATCTTATTGATCCTTGCCCACAAAATAGCCTAGCTAAAAAAAAGAAAAGTGAAAAAAACAATTAGGGTTGAAATAGTCATGACAATAAGGAAAAACAGATACACAAACATCAACTTTTGAGTTGTTTGCTTTTCCAGACTTAATTATAAGATTATTTCAACCCAAAATTCACTCACTCAGAACGCACGTTAACTCGCTCAGAGCACACTTAAATTATTGGCACCCTGGATTTCCCAGATGCATCCAACCCTACAGTTACCATAAATCCTCTATTAAATCCCCTCTTTCAAATAAGCGCCCACATTGTTTTTAGAGAAGAGTGTTGCCAGTATAATTATCAGTCAGTTTTTCAGATAATCAGTGAGTCAGCCAAACAGAAATCAATGGTACGTCCACTAATGTCTTCTAACTTGCTTTTTGTTATGTTTAGCCCCATCAGGTTCACCAGTGTCCAAATGGGCCATCATGGATGTTCTTCATTCTTCTCACAAGTTTCATCATGTGACATTGCATCAAATAGAAGACTCGCTTGATAAACTCTTACAGGGCAGTGATATTTACAGACACAGTGAACATCAATACTGTTTAGTATGAGGCTGTAACGGAGTGGCTGTACTGGAAAGGAATGACATTCAGAACAAAGTAAAATTTCCTGTTTATTTCTGTTCCTTTGCACCACTAGGGGACAGATTCATTGATGTCACGGGCATCACAGCTGGGCCCCACCAAGGAAATTTAACATGATGCCAACATGTCTCTGGTACTAAACACAGCTTTTGAAGGAAACATCTGTGAAGTATTTAATTATTTAAGCGTCACCTTGGCTATCAATGGCTATGAGACCATAATGTTCATTCCTTTGAGCTTGCTATTTTGAATCACTTTTTTCATATGTGAACATAATTATACAAGTTTGAAAGAAATACATAGTAAGGGCTATTATGATTTACAAACTCAAATGTACTCTGATCTTGGAAGGTTTTGGAGAGAACACCGCCCAGTTACCTTCATGTGTACAAAAGTATGTGCAGATGAGCTCTAGGAGCCACCACAGTGTTACCTCAGTTCTGATCAAGACGCAAACTGAAAACAATAGAATGAAAATCTACCTATATAATAAATAAAATAATGACCAAAAAGTCTTTTTGTACTGTATGTACATGCATGAGTACCATACATCTTGGGTGTAAAAGATTTCAATTGATCATGACTTCATGTGTTTCTAGTGTAACGTCCATCTCTAAAAACTTAGAGAACTTTCCATTTCTCTGCTTGGCAGCAATTCTTCAGCCATCATCTTCGTCCTCATCACTAGCTGACTCTTCACCACTTGACCCTTCCTCTTCACTGCTTTCCTTTTCATCTTTCTCATCGTTACTCTCTTTCTCAGCTTCTTCGTCATCATCATCATCATCTTTCATGTCTTCATCCTCACTATCATTCCCTTGTTTTTCTTCCTCCTCCTGCTCATCCTCAGCAGGATTTTCTTCCTCATTTTCTGCTTCATCAGCACCTTCTTCATCTTCATCACCCTCTTCTTCTTCAAATTCCTCTTCTTCTTCCTCAGCCGCAGCAGTATCTAATTGAGTCATGCGCATTTGCTGAGGACAGAAAAAAACCACAACTAGAGTTCAGCTCTTGAACATGCCATTAAATCATGATTAAACAATGTTTATAAGAAACACACAAACAAGGAAACCAAGTTGACCAAATTCCAGAGGCAATAACTTTTCTAAGCAGTTTTACAGTCTTAAGTTTCAAAGGTCGATCAAAATGTTGATAATTGAATTAAAGCCTTGGGGAAAATCAAGAAGGATGGAAATTTCCTTGCAGTACATATGTGTGTGTGTGTGTGTGTACATGTATGTTCATTTGCCAGTCATTGATTGTAATAAAAAACCTTGATGTCAATAATCATTATTATGGGAATTGTTCACTTGAGTATTGAGGAAATATAAAAGATGTTTTTATTGCACAAATAAAAATGTTAAAACATGAGTTATTGTTATTATTATTATTATTATTATTATTATTACTATGATAAAAAAAAAGATTGATTGGCTGGATCAGTCTAATAGACCCACTTTCTTTTTCAACTTTTCACTGGCAACAGTTAGCTGCAGTTAATTTCACAACTTTCTGGAGCAATATACTGTATTTTAAGGCCCTCTATCCAGCAGTGTCCATGGATATTCGCTTACTGCCCTTTATTAAAAATTGAAAGAAAAAAAAAACATGGAAGGGTCTATTATCTCTGATTGATTATGAAATCTCAGCTGATTCCCAGCACTAGGCACCATTTCATAAGTAGGTTGAGTATGATCGTCTGGGTGAGCGTAGTCCTGAATAGGACTGTTGTTGTTGACAGTGACTGACGTCTCGACAACCTTTGCGGTAGTTATCTTCAGAGTCACAGCGAGTTGTATCACGTCAGTTGATGGTATACTCTGGTTATTGACCTGATTAGTCAATTAAGTTGCAACACCATTTTTGACACCATCATTGCCAGACTTGTAAAACTTCCATCTACCAGCTGGCCTACTGGCCACTACAGCTGTTACAAACAAGAAAATTCAAATCTCCATACATAATAATGTTATTCTAACCTGTGCTTTTCTTTCATTGTCATCCAACTCTCTGTGTTTAACAACTAACTGAGAAACAGCTGATTGCACACCACCAGCTCCACCACGAACTCGTCGCTTGCTCAGATGAACCCTAAAATAAGAGAATAAATTATACAGATGAATGTATTATACATTGTATAGTAATACTATAGAGTTAGACTAACTCAAACCCTACATTTACATTACTTATGACGGAGGTTGGGGTGCTTTGGTAACTGAGAGTCTTCCACCCTTACAGTCAAGTTAGGTCAAGCATACCTCCCTATAGAGTGGTTTTCGTTTGAGTGTCGTAAAACCAAAACCAAAGTAATTACTCTGGCCAATCACATAGGACACAGACAATACATTGAACCAATCAAAACTCGAAGTAATGACATGTGGCTGACGCAAAGCGCGGGAAAATGCATGCGAGCGCGTCACAATTGGCTTCGGTTTTACTTCTGATTGGATGAAAAGGTGGCGCGAATCTTTTAAGCCAATCGCATCGTGTAGAAAGTGCAAAACCAATTACTTTTCGACACTCAAATGAAANCCATACATAATAATGTTATTCTAACCTGTGCTTTTCTTTCATTGTCATCCAACTCTCTGTGTTTAACAACTAACTGAGAAACAGCTGATTGCACACCACCAGCTCCACCACGAACTCGTCGCTTGCTCAGATGAACCCTAAAATAAGATAATAAATTATACAGATGAATGTATTATACATTGTATAGTAATACTATAGAGTTAGACTAACTCAAACCCTACATTTACATTTCTTATGACGGAGGTTGGGGTGCTTTGGTAACTGAGAGTCTTCCACCCTTACAGTCAAGTTAGGTCAAGCATACCTCCCTATAGAGTGGTTTTCGTTTGAGGTCGTAAAACCAAAACCAAAGTAATTACTCTGGCCAATCACATAGGACACAGACAATACATTGAACCAATCAAAACTCGAAGTAATTACATGTGGCTGACGCAAAGCGCGCGAAAATGCATGCGAGCGCGTCACAATTGGCTTTGGTTTTACTTCTGATTGGATGAAAAGGTGGCGCGAATCTTTTAAGCCAATCGCGTCGTGTAGAAAGTGCAAAACCAATTACTTTTCGACACTCAAATGAAAACCGCTCTATCACATTTATGAAAAATTAATTATTTGAAAAATGTATGTGTGGGTTGTTACACAACCAGTATCAAATTCAAGTCTGCATTCCTGCAGCATAATGAGCAGTGACTTTATTTTAAATACAATAACTTCTCTGTATTTGGTCAGATTAGAAAATCTTTGAATGGATGAAATTGCTTTGAAGAGATTGCCATCAAATACAGGAAAACTGAGAGGGTGAATGCACTCACGCATTCACTCACTCATTCCATCACGCATGCAAGAATGCAGAGATGAATCCGAAATCTACAACTTAACTACCAATACATTCAACTTTTGAATAATAATTAATTCATTAATGGAATCTGGGGGGTATGCTTGACCTGCCTTGACAGTAATATTTTGCTAGCTAGTTTACGGATACAGACAGAGTAACATGTTCATACAAAGTGCCAGTAAAAATAGAACAGTGAATGTAATATTCACTGTTCTTTGTTTTTATATATTAGATAAAAATGGTTTGTCATCAGAGTTCAGCTACATATGCATAAACAGCTGCTAAAGTAGGAGCTAATTGTGCCAAGAATTCAACCACCACTTCACAGTATAACTGACAATAATGTTATACAACCTAATTTGAGGACACAAGATTGTTTGAAATGTCTTAGACTTCCTTACCTTGTTACCAGCTCATCGTAGAAAACTCCCTCTCCTTCTCGGAAAACAAAGAAATAGTTTTCCTATTACAAAGAGAATAGATAGTCAGGTAAATGAAAGAAGAGAACCACATTAGCTACATGCATTAAGGCAAGGCAATTCACTACTGTTGAGTGCTAGTGCAGGCATTTCTTTTAGGAAGAGCACCGTATATTATACCAAAAATAATAAAACATTCTACAATAACACGTTTTAATAATCCCACTTGCTTTGAAATAAGGCAACTGGGGGCTTTGATCATACCTCATATCCTTTGGTTGCTTTATTCTTTACATTCCAGTTGTATTCTCGTGCCATTTTGTATTCATATCTGAAAGAAAAAAAAAGTCAATTCTAATTTGAATAATTGCAAAAAAAAAGGATGTCAAATATACCATTTTATCTAATGCAAAATAGTGAAATTATGATTTGTATCAGCAGATAGTTGAAGTGGGGCAAATAACATCTGACATCTGAGAAATGACTCCAGAAATTCAATACTGGACATCCCGTTACCCAGATCTAGGTAATGCTTCTGATTGGCCTCGTAGCACAACTGATAGTGAAACTGGGTAGTGAAACTTCATCAGTATGAAATTTCTGTGCTGGTTTCTCAGACCTCATTTTATGAGAATAGCTTTGGTGGCAATGCAGAATGTCGGCTCTATGTAATTGCATGCACACTGAGCAGTGCTTGAAAGAGTTCGCTTCTACTCACTCCTCATCCTCAGTATAGTCCATTTCAGTTTCAAGGTCTCTTTTTCTCTTTCCAATTGTCTCTCTGGTTGGAAGGAAGTAAGCTACAAACTGGTCTCCACTTGCATCCACCATACCTCTAAAAAGAAGAAAAAACAATGCTTCATATCATTAAACTTTCCACTCTAGAAAATCAACATACTTGGAGGTACATGTAGCATATGGTCAAACCATATCTGAATGAGCCAATTCAGTCAAAAAAAGTAGGGAAAAATGCAAAGGACCATAAATTATATAAAGTTGGCCCGAAAAATCCAAAGAAAATCAGGCACTACCCACCTTCCATCTAATCCTACAATCCTCAAAGTTTTTGCAAAACCTTTTCTCACCAAAGGAAGCCAAATGCTCAGAAAAAGGAAAAGGTGCAGGGAGAGATGGGAGGGGAGGAGGGGGGGGGGTAAGAAAATTGAAAGGAGTGGGCAGAAGAGAAAGTAGAGGGGCAGTGTCAGTTTTAGGTCTATTAAATAATTATCTTGAAATTTTGCTTATTGTGCGTGCCAAAACTTTAGAAGTTGACATGTTGCACTGGAAACAGAAGGGAGTATAGTGCTTGATATATCAGTGATGTTTTGGGAAGGTTTGATTCTTTTAAGCCTAGCAGTACTGCGGCATACTTGTCCAATACTCTTACAAATTTACAGTTTTGTATGCATGACTTTGTTAAATTTCTCATTATTTTGCTTTCGTTCTTTATTGTTACATTTTTGTATAGTATCGTAATTCAAAGACAGTACAATACAATGCCATGCATAAATTTGTCGGAGTAATGGATAACCCTCTATTGCAGCAGAAAACAGCTTGACTAGCTTCAAAAGGCATTTTTCCAAGAGCCAATGGGCTAACGTTTCTGTTACTGACCTGATCATTGCTTGAGACATTTCTTCCTCCTCTGCAGGCCCATTTCTCCCTCTCGGGGTGGGGTCAGTATCAAATATAACATGAGCACAGGGCTGGGCCCACATCTAGATATAGGTAACAATGAACAGGAGAAAAAAGACTTTGTTCAATCTCAAACATCGATTGGAAAAAATTGTAGGGTATCTTACTTGCTACACTATGAGAGTTAAGGATCGTGATCCAAGTGACTTGGGTGGTACTGTACATTGTGTATCTTCTGTTTCCTTTCAACTAGATGCAGTTGTGTGTGGGCTAATTTGCTCAATAATTTATTTACAGTTGTAATGGTGTGTGTTTTATTGATGCTGAGCTCAGACACTTGTACTTTGCTTGTGTTACCAACTGATGTGTAACATAATGGGTTACTTTTTTCCAAACACTCTACAAAGTGTTCATCTTGACAATATCAAACAAAACAAAGACAGCCCACCACAAGTACTCCCCTACCCATCACATTTTCAACTTTCTTGTTAAAAATGTGATGAAACAATGTGTCCTGTGTTTGATAGATTACTTCATGTAAATGTATGAATACTACCTGAAAATCTGGGAAGACCGGTAAGACTTCCACAGGTGTGACATTGGGCTTGGTTGGATGGCGAAGAATCTGAAACAGACAAGAGAAATTAATAGTCAGGCTGCATGCATTCATAAACCACTGGACAAATTCTTGACTGGTTGAATATTCATGTGATCAAGGGCGCTTATTAAATTTTTGGACCTTGAGAGTGGGCGCTTATTCGAGGTGGGCGCTTATTCGAGGCTGGGCGCTTATTAAATTTTCACCATTCTCAGCAAGTGTAGTAGTATATTTTGCAACAAAACAGTAAATGCTAATAACAAAAAGCAAAGACGTAACAAAGCAAGGTCTCTGTACAATACCCTGAAGAAAAATCCGCCTTCGGGAGGGTCTCTTATTATCTCTTATTGGAGTTTTTGTGGGAGGGAGTGGGGTGGGGTGGGTGCTTATTCGAGGCTGGGCACTTATTAACTTTTTCTGCCTTTAGGATGGGCGCTTATTCGAGGTGGGTGCTAATTCGAGGTTAGGCACTTATTCGAATAAATAGGGTACCAGGATTGAAAGGTTTGTGTGTCACTATCTGCAAAGCCACTGTTATAGGGAAGAAGTTATAGTTTAATAGCTACATTTGTGAATGGAATTTCTTTCTTTACCAGCCGTACATTTGGACAGGGTACGTAGGAACGTTTATACCCGCATAGTGTTTGCCTTTAAAACAATTTAAAATTACTCTTCAGGCCCATGAACATGTGTAGTCTGACCCCAATACTTACAGGCCTCTGTGCTGCATCAAAGGTACTTTCAATTGCGGCTATCTGACTTTCACGATCCTGCAATGAAACCAATAATACACTTATGCTCTATCGGGTTCAGTTCCTCTAACAGCAATGTACTAATATAAACTATGAACAAAATTATAAAATTAATAAACCACAGCAATAGAGACAGAGACAAGTTACCTTGTAAATATCTGTTCCCTGGAATTTCTTTTTTACATTGAAGCCAACTCTGTGAGTCAGAGAACAATAAACAAGGTCAAAACACATCCTAAGAACTGGTTACCACTGTCAATTTGCATCAATATCCATTTTTTCAAATAAAAAATTGCTTTGTATAATAATAATAATAATAATAATAATAATAATAATAATAATAATAATAATAATAATAATAATAATAATATTTTCTATGATAGCTTTTTAATTGGATTTAAGAGTTTTACATACTTTGTTTCCACCATTTCATTACTTGTGCGACTTCTGTTATATTCAGTTGAAATATACTCGGTTCTTCTGAGCCACGATACATTTCTGTTGTGATGTGCAGTTCTATGCATCAAGGAAATGAGAAAAAAAAATATTTAAGTCACACTCTCAAATGTAAGAAATTTAACAATCAAATGAATGAATAACAAGGACCTTATTCAGGAATGCTGGTTTTTGGCTCTGTTTTGTAACAATATTTCCGGTGCACTGCCATTGACATCAAAAACATGATTTGGGGCCATAACTGCAATTTTGGAAATGGAACACTCTTTTTTGAATCTTTCTTTTTTGATCTTTTAGAATAGTCCAGAATGTGTTCCTATTACAAAATCTGGTCAATCAAACACAACCCATTAACCACTGTGAACATTTTCAGGTTATCTTCATGTAGACCTTAGAAGGATGATATCAAAATGGTTCAATGGCAAACAGTCACTGTCACTATGTTCAAAGAAAATGCTAAGAACAAAATGAATGCTACATGTATAAACAGCAAACCCTCAAGTACCATTATCCAAACTTGCACTTTTTCAGTAAAAGTCAAGGCTGGTAAACACTGTAATTTATAGTTATCTGTATTAAGGTAAGGTTCAAGATAAAAGAAAAAGACATGAGATCCCAGGGTAGACTGCAGATGTATTCATACCGTTTCTTATCTGGTAAGTTTATTGGTTCTTCTTCTAGCAACTTTTCATCATCAGGGTCAAGGGAAACTATAATGCAACAACAAGAAAACAAGCAAACTTCAAAAGGAAAAGGTCAGACCAAATCACCGTCTGGCTGAAAATATGATTGAGCACTCTAATTTGACTTGAACCAGCTTACAGTGCCATTGGATTTGTCACTAAACACCTTGATGTAATCCATCAGTGTAATGGCTTCCAAACACTGTTTCTAATATTATACTAGGTTCAAAGGAATATTGGTATCCTTTTCTGATTGTCTTGTTTCTTATGCACATTTCGTGCACAACACATCATGCACTGGTAAAATTAACTTGTATTTTTGTACTTCCTTGGGTGTTGTAAAAAAGAGTTTGCACTGTAAACCCACAAAAGAGCCAGTTTAAATACAGTTGAACGTGCATGTGTGACTACCTGCCGAAACTAACCGTCTCCCATGAGCGACTAAACACAAAAACTTTCCCAGTTAAGCCCTGTGCAAATGGACACCACATTACTGGACATTAAAATGTTGCATCCACTTGCACACCCTGTTGCATGTTGTTGGGAGTTCTTGTGCAAAGTTTGAAACCTGTCAAACTTTTAGCTACATGCAAATATAAGCAACAACTCCCAACATTCTTGGCCCAACAATGTTACATGAGTTGTTGCGTCCATTTGTATGTGGCTTTAAAACTCCAAAGCACTTGTATATTAAAAACATCTTTTAAACGACCATCTCTCATAAGCGACCGAGGTCACTTTTTGCCCTCAAGGTTTTCATAGTTTTTCATTGTTTTAAACCTCATGCAAGTGACCACTTGCTTTTGCATGGCGTGGTTTCTTTGTTCACTGTATTTACATGTACTACACCACTTGGAGTATAATTATGGAAAGCTTTCAGAGACAACCTACATGTAGAACTACACATATAAAACTTAGATATTGCATGCAAAAAATTCTCTACCAAGCGTTGCTGTGTAGGGGCTTCTTCTCGGAAGGGACCCCATGTGGTTTCAATCTCCTAAGCGACCACCTTACATGTATATAAGCAAGCCAACCACTAAATCTTCGCATTTTAGGTGTTCCCTTAAGTATTATAACCATTACCATCAACATCGGCATCATCAACATTATCATCATCATCATCATCAACATCATCACCACTATCAGCATTATCATTATCATCATCATCATCACTATCATCATCATTATCTCCTCACCATTAGGATCCAGGGCATATGTATCAGGGTCAATAAGATCAATATTGACCCCAAGATCAACCTCTGTCAACATTTCATGTTTGTAGTTTTTCTCAAGTGAGGTTGGCTTGTATTCCACAAATCTGTTAAATTGAAAAGAGAGTCTAAGTTTTATCATCATCGTCTCTACAAGAAAAACGACAGACTTAAAACACACAATTTAAGCCTTCTAATAAAATATTATACTCACCGGTTTGACTCAAAGGGATAGGCAATAAACTTGGCATCAAAAGGAATGTCTGGTAGATTGTTGTTGTACTTTACCCTGGAGACAAAGTCTGCTTTGCTGAAACAATAGAAACAAGAGAAAAACAAAACATTAATGTTTCATTTGGTAATATCATTAATCTTTTATTCAGCATGTGAAAGATTTCAGTGATATTAAATCTTATCCTTTAATTATATTTTTACACACACATGTACACAGAAGAAACCTGAGAGAACCCAGTTCAAATCAAATCAAATCAAATATTTATTATGTAAGGATACATGAAAGGAAACATCAGAGGTTCTCCCTATCACTCCCTACAGTTGAACCCCACTTCCTGCTTGATATGGACACCTTAACATTACAGACAGTTTTCCTTATCCCTGGGTCAAAGCAAGCTCGTCAGTTAACCTGGACACCCATTAATGCAGACAGACACATTGGGTCAATCATTTAAATGAAGTCTAACTTAAGCTGCGGTTTAAGAAATCACTGGACTTCCAGATCTCTTTCTTAGTGGGTTGATTTAAGAAAATAGAGAGCTTTAGATTTGAGGACAAGAACGAATATGAGTACGAGATTTAACTTAAAGTTTTTGCGTGTGTTCTCAAAACAAAGACACCCCGGAAAGCTTCATTTTACTTTTTTTCACCACAAAAATTTGCACGGTTATTCATACTGAAGGAGGCTAGGCCCTCTTCCAGTGGAAGAATGATAAGACTTCTTACGTTTATACTTGTTCCTGTCACAACAACATTCTCACTAAACTCGTAGTAGCATGACAATGGCTATCACGTTTTCCCGCCAAAATGACACTGGTTCACAGGTGAGCAATACTCAGTATTGAGAAAATCTTGTACTTGTAGTCTTTCTCATCTCAGAATCTAAAGGTCCCTAATGAGTGCTTTTCCAGTCTAAGCAATATGCTTTATTGAGATTGTTAACTATAAATGGTGTTAAGATGAAAAAGTTGGGCAAACTGAAAGTGACTTAGAACAAGGTTTTGTTAAACACAGGCTAAAGTCCATTTAAATAACTGGCCCATTGTTTTCCTAGTCTGATCCACAGATTCTTATAGATAGTTAGCCTCATTAATACAAACACATGTACAATGTACAATGTAAAGATACCACATTATCCAGTGCGTGCTACAATAGGCTTTACTATGGTGCTATAATAGGCTATAATATGGGGAGAGAGGGTTATGCAGTGGTGAGAGCACTCGCATCCTACCAATGTAGCCCAGGTTGAAAACCCAGCCTTGATGCCACAAGCAGGTTAAATTTGTTGTTGGTTCTCTCCCTGGCTCGGAGAGGTTTATTTCTTGGTACTCCCATTTCCCCCGCTCCTCAAAAACCAACACTTCCACATTCTATTTCAGTTTGGAATGCATGGACTCATTTCAACACATTCTTAACTTTACAGTAAATGTCAATTTTACATCTAACTCCACAAAGAGTGTTTTTATACTCATTAAAAATGTTCATATAAAGTATATTGCCAACGAGTGCAGATTTTATTCTGTCTCGGGTGTCAGTACACCACCAACATTAACAATATTCTTACCTAACTGTTGAACGCAATGAGCTTTGCCTGAAAAAGACAAGTATGGGTAAATTTCACATGCATAACCTGCTGAGTGCAATGACTGGCAGTCAAACTTATTGGCCTAACATTTAAGTAACTTTTAGGTACATCAAACATATTATTCTGGCCCCAGTTGTTGAAAAGTTGGATAATAAAATTTTTACTCACTGGATAACTCACAATCAGTGGAGAAAGCAATTATCACATGTTACTAGTTCTCCTAATACTTTTCAGTGGATAGTGATGCATCTGATGTATTGTGTTATCCACCTTTTCAAAAACTGGGGCCCACTGGTTTCATTAAAAAAAAAAAAAATAATAAAGCCCCATGTAGAAACACTCATTCAAGCTGGAATAAATTCATAAAGCCATGATTACATGGTCTCTCCTCTTAATTTATGGAAGGTAAACTTTGTGTATAAGTTCTCTTTGATGTTGCTGAATCCGTGGATATGGTCGGGGAGGGATACAAAATGTCAACCAATCAAAAAGCTTGTTCCCTTTGGGCATGAAATTAGGTACTAAGCTTACTGAAGTGAAGTTTTTAATGCAAATCATAAGCTTACTTGATGTACGTTGTTTGATCGTCCGATCAAGAGTAAGAGAGAAATTTAAAGGTTGGGTTAATAGCCACTTTTTCTGATCAACTTCGCCAAGATACTCATAGCTGAGCGGACAATGCACAAAACTTATGAAGAGCCATGTTATACCAACTTAAATGGTAAGTCTCTGCAGTCAGATTGACAGGTTCGACGGCAGCGTGAATGCTGCCGATTGTTTACACTGATTTACGACACGAAGATTACAACGCTAAGGAAATCAAAGCTCACCTCCGCTCTTGATCTCTGCTCTTTTGCCCATCCTGAACGGTTGGCGCCATTCTAAATCATGTAAAAGTTAAAATGTACTTAGTGCTCGTGGTATTTTCTGCAGTTACATGCTGTTTCCCCCATTTTTCCGAATGCTGGAAATGCAAGATGGCTGCCAGAATACAAACGAGAAAGACTGGTAGTGACGCTAGTTCCAGGATCTGCGATTCTGGCCGAGGATAGTCCACAGGACAACCACTGTTTATGTGACCGTCGTTTTTTTTCTTCTTCTTTTAATATTGAAGACATTGTTAACTAGTAAGCAGAACCTTTGAAATAGACGAAAAATGGTATATTTGAAGAAACTCGAAATCTTTATTTGAACTGAGACTACCGGTAAATAAAAACAGCTCTCATTTTAAAAAACAAACAAAAAAAAATCAAAGAGAATAAAAAATCAGTAAAGTATACAAAAGGTGTTGATCGGCGGATGCTTAGTTGAATAAATTCTTGTAACAGATTCGCATTATTGAAATTTTCTTCTTTTTACTGGAACTTCTTCCTAAATGTTCCCTTTTTTCTATCCAAGTCCACGTTTCGTCCGCTTATTGAATTGGACGAAGGTCAAAACCGTGCGGCACTCGCAAAGATCATTTTTTCTAAAACGAAAAGCGACTGCAAGTAAAGTTACATTCAGATGCGCAAAACATATAACTAATCTTATTTTTATTCATATTCTGGACAGTTTTATAAATGGCCCTTGCTTTATGTTGCATATTAAAAAACGATGAAAGCAAACATTGTTGATCAACATTTAGATTCAAGTAACTAAAATCAATCGTTGTGGTTTTATTCTTGCTCTTGCAATTTTAAATTTGATCAGATTTAAGTGATAAAATCAAGGACAATTTTTCAGTTACTTTTTTGTGTTCATGTTGAAGTTAATTTTTTTTCTTTTAATTTACTTTCTTGAAGCTCATTAGTCGAAATTCGGCCTCTGTTTGCGGGAGAAAATTGTCTTTAAATGACTGTTTAAATAATCATCTGTTTTGTTATTTAAATTTGTTCTTTGGACTTAAACTAAAAAAAATTCTAAAAACTCTTCATTCAAGGCAATCTCTAAACCCCAGGCGAACGATTTTTCTCACTGTTTCCCTTAAGCTGAGAATAAAACTGGGTTAATGTTGTCATAATTTTAGTATCCCTCGATTATCAATCGACAGGATTTCTATCAACTATAGTTTACATTTAATACATCGTATAGAAATAAATTCATATGCATAGATCTGAGAGACAACAAAGGTGAAATATCTGCAATATTAAAAAGATGCCTCCCACTTAAAACAATACGTGTATTTGAACTACCCGTTTTGTGTATTTTCGTTTCGTCGGTAGACACTTTTCCTAACTTTTCGTCGCTTAAACTCATTCACAAGGCGGACGCAACTTCCTTAAACGGTGTTAAAGGGTGTATATTGTTGGTTTCCACTGAGCCTCACCGACGTATAAAATTGGCTTAGTTCCACCCAACATGGCAAAAGCTATGAAGACTTTATTCCTGGTTTTAGGTTTTCATATAATCGTTCAATATGCTGAAGGTAAAGGTATGTATGTGCTACCACTTTCCAAAAAAAATAGATATATTTTAATTTTAAATATGTTTTGATAGCAAACGCAGCAACTCTGATTCGTCGGGAGCGAACTAGCTATACATCACTGATACTATGCAAGCTTTGCTTTTTTATTAGCCGCTGGTTTATCTTTACAAGACTAGACTATACATGGCGGATTTTCGTGGGTTAAATTGCGTTCAGGTCGCAAAAATTTGTCACAAACTTCGCAGTAAAAGGGTTTCTGTCTATCCAGCCCTCTAAAAGAGAATCAGGGACCGGTGAGGTCCCGAGGATGAACGACTGATCCCGTAAAAGAATTGAAGAGGATTAAAGTAAAGAAACTACAAATTTAAAAAAAGCTTGAATAAAACTCCATCGCCGCGTTTACTCTTTTTTATATTTCAATTCATAGTTAAATTCAAGCGAGAAAAACCCTATTTTTACGCAAAATTTACCCATCGTAAGGCTTGTATTGTAAGCTATTGTAGTAGTTTGAAATTAACACCATGGATTCAATAACATATGCTAGCTTAAAAACATTACGCTAAAGAGGTGCAATGTTTTATTCGCTTAGGTTTAAAATGGGACCAGCTAAGAGGTAAGTGGGGTTTATTTTTCAGCGAAACCGCGCATTTGTCAAATAACTCTAAAGCAGTAGCTGTTGATAACCAACCAACGCCAGTTTCAGATCTATATCTCCATAGCTGCAGTTGCACTAATATCTGTTTCTGTAAAGCACTCACACTATGAGTGTTCATTAGACTATATTAATGCGCCTGGCAACGAATTGTGCTTTTGTAGTCCTTGCTGTCAAATGAGAAAATTTTGCAAAAGCTAAGAAAAACTCTTTAAAGCTAAGGTTGTTACTTTCACCGTTCAAAGATAAATGTATTATCAACCCCCTGTTAATTACTAAACTAAAGAGTATTGAGTGTTTGAAAATTGAAAAATTAAAGTTGATCAGCACCATTTGTCAACATATCTGTACTCGGGAGCAAAGTATTTTCGATTTTCAACGAAAAGAAGCTCGTCTTTGAGAAAATGCCACGACATTTAGGTAACTAATTATTTTGTACATCAATTCCCACGTTTCTAGCTACTTAGTTGTAATTTGAATTCTCACTGAATGAAACCAAAAACGCTTTTATTAGAAGTTTGACGACGGTGGACAGGCTTTTGTGCGACCTAATAAAAACCAATCTAATTTCAAAAGCGTTTCATTCGGAGAAAGTAATATTGTGGAACGGTTTTTAAAAGTCGGCTCCTCCTGAGGATCTATTTTATCTCAGTCTCGAATAAAAGGTAGAACGCCGCTATATTTTCTTTTCAGTGACTTTTGGCAAATTTTCCATTTATCCACTTACCAGTGAAGAAGCCACTCAAAATGGTTGGAAATGGGATGGCCATTGTTCAGGTATATGTATAAACTAGTCTTATTCTAAAAAATTCGAACTTTCATCATATACTATTATTCAGGGCAATCGTTTATATAGTGTAATCGTTCAGAAAACTGCTACAGTGGATGACAGGAAAGAAAATGCTTGATCACTCAAATGAGCAATACCTATCTATCTATCCATCCATAGACGACATACACCCATATCTATCTACTATTTAATTGGCCTCTTTCAAAATGATCTTTCTTGAGAATTTTGTAAATTGGTAGCAAGTAGATAAAATAAATAAACACTAGCGCTAGTTCTTTGCTGTCACCTGGTTGACTTATAAAGTGCGAGCTAAAGGCGCTTATTGCTGCATTAATTCACAATGACGCCTTCTTTTTCTTATCCAGATCGGGGCTCTAACTTCTTTTACGGGAAGCGTTTTGTAAGAGGCAACGACAGTGCTACAGGTCTGATTTTTGACTGTGCTGGCCGCTTGGCGGGGATGCAAGCTACCGTATGTATAATCTGAATTCAAAAGAGAAGCCAAAAATAATGCTTAGTATATCAAAGTTCGCACTTAAAGCAAGGGTTTGAACCTAAAATAAGAAGCTAAAGTAAAGACGTTTTCGAGAAAAACCGGAAGTCAAGGCCTTTTCCTTTTAATATGGCTTGACGCTACCAAATTCCAATTCGATCTGGAACGCCCAGACAACGCGGTTTCAACGAGTTCTTAAGAACTCCTAAGTGCTCCGTGGGTCAACAAATTACAATCACAATTTGTATTAGTTGCTAAGTGTATTTACTCTTACAGAGACGATTTCCCAAAAATTTGAGCAACAACCACTGCCCAATAACGCCAAAAGTCCACTTCTGGTAGACGTGCGTTGTTCAACTGAAACGTCTTTCAAGCTCCCTACTGTCTTAATAGCCGCAACTCAATAATGGAGGAGGCGCGTGGTAAACGGCGCTTCCTCTATATCTACTGAAAGCCAATGAACACATTTAACAATTATTCCTTGAGCCCGAATGGCCTCTTACTCAATAGCCCATGAGGCCGAAGGCCGAATGCGCTATTGACTCAGAGGCCATGAGGGCGAGAGGAATAATTGTTTTAGTATAAATCCAACTTGTTGGTCAAAAATATCGAGAATGAAAAAATTTAAGCTAGTTAAAGCTAGACTTAAATCCTTTTTTGCCGCCAAAAAGCCCGCGCTTTTCGCTACTAGTGGGCTATAACATATAGCCTAGTGGTAGCTCAGCCAATCAGGATGCAGCATTGATAATAAACCACTAGTTGGATTTTACTAATTTCATATAGTCCCTGGTATATTTTTAATATAGATGGAGATAAAACTCACTCTACATGAGTCGTCTTGTACACATAAAATTTATACATCCTTGTCCATGTTTGCACTTAAAGGTGTTGTGTAAAAGATTAAAAATACAAATCGCGCGTCCTTATTTGCTATGGAACTCAGTTGAAAAATCACTTGCAAATTGCAAAACCACAGCTTCGTGTCAAACAAATCAATTCTCCCAAGCAGTATATCAGACGTTACAAATACTAAAAATGAACGTTGAAAACTGTTTATAGCCTAACTGCCAGGTTTCAAAAGGCACAATTGCAATCTTCAATGTTCTTCAAGTTTGCCCATCCGTGCCTCCTTTTGTATTTGATATGTTATTTATACCTTCTTTTCATGTCCTGAATTGTTATTTTTATGTTTTACTCAGTTTGGTCGCAGTTTCCGCTCTTTTAAGTTTTGATAAATTTCGTGACACAGCTTCTTTAACCAGTTGGGGATTCAGGGAAGGGGCCCATCCACGTTATTTTTAGACCAAACTGAGGCGCGAAGGGTCGAAAAACTTTGGATTTTGGAGACCGGGAACCTCTCCTTATCTCAGGGTCTGGATGACCACCCCCCACCCCCCTCCCTTATCTTAGGGTCTGGATGACCGGGCCCCCCCTTATCTAAAGGTCTGGATCCGTCACTGTTAACAGTAGATGAAATCGCACTAAATAAAACGAAAACTAAACGCCCCAGACATTTGACCGTGGTAGAATACAACAGTAGCTGTCCTTATGTGTCGTTCAACAGATCAGCAAACCACCTGAGAATGCGGATAT